GTGGTGGTGGTGGTGGTGGTGGTGGTGGCACACACCTTTAATCCCAGTGTAGAGGCAGGTGGATTGCTGAGTTTTGAGCAGCCTGGTCTATAGAGTGAGTTCCAGGTTAACCAGGGCTACACAGAGACATCCTGTCAAAAAAGAAAAAGAAAAAAAGATAGCAGTGTATCTTTCCCCAAAGTGACTATCAGAATTCAACACCATCTACTCTCTGAGGCAGACTTGTGACTCATTCATGTTTATCGGCTACCTTGGGTGGCAGGCTCCTCAGTTGGGCCTTGGTCAATTTTCAGTGTTCTTCCTATCTCTGGTGGAGCTTTGGGGTAAAGGACCACCTAGAGTAGGGGGTCAGTCACTCACCTGGTGTTGCCCTGCCCCCAACAGCTGAGACCAGGAGCCGAGCTGCCTCTCCCCACAGGCCCAGGAAGACGAAGAATGCATGGAAAGCTCTAGCAGAGTAGTAGGGTGGCTTCAGAGAGTCGGAGCGGGGCTCCAGGTTCCTGAGATGTTGGTGACAGTGGCCTGGTGTCTTAGCATCCGTGCTTTGTTGTTCTGGTCACACCATCTAAAATGATGCTGCACCAGAACCTGAGTTCACATACTGGTTGGTCCTCATTCAGAGCTTTGTGTATGGAAAAGAGAGTTCTCTTCAATGTACCCAAGCTCCCCCCACCCCACTTTGTTGCATAATCAACACCGAACCCTTAGACATGTTATCATAAAGGGTGTTTGCTTTGGAGGACCACCTGCTTCTGGTCTCTGGTTTAGTAAATTAATATTAGTGCCCCCCAAAAAATGGACAGAAAGAAAAAACAGACCAATCTGTAGTCATTGTTGGAGAATTCCACATGCCTATTCCTATAGCTAACAGAAAGAAAGGAAGGGAGGAAGGAAGGAAGGAAGAAAAAAAGGAAGGAAGGAAGAAAGGAAAAGATCACTAAGAACAGAGGAGAGTGAGCCACAATGGGTAAGGTCAAGTAAATTTAACCTCGAACCCCATAATGACAGATGATCAGAGCCTTTGAAGCCACGCTTACCCAAACTGACCATCTGCTGGCCTTCAACCCCAGTGCTGCTGCTGTCCACAGCATTCTTTCTGACCACAGTGGAATTAAATTAGGCATCAATAACCACACGGTAATTAGGAAATTTAAACGCAGTGGGAGTATATAAATCCTTTGGAATTAAAATAAGAATTTAGTGAAACGAAGAATGATTTGTATGCATGAGGGCCTCTATAGAAACGTCGCTTATTCCAGTCATAGCATCATTGGTTGACTGCCTGGAAGGTGCTGTGTTATGTGACAGAAATTTTGAGTTGTCTTTTATAAGCAGCCTGTGACATAGGTTTTTTTTAAAAAATAAAAGGGAAAATACGTATACCACACGAACACTTAGGACCTTGTGTCTGGTGGACAGGACAGGACATCATGGTGGATATAACCTGTTGCTTCAGGAACAGGCCGTGTGTACAGTAACTTACCTAAATCTTTCTCCACACTGATGGCGTGCAAATCTGCATTGGGATTTTTTTTATTTATTTATTTTACATTTTTTGTTAGTGTATTAAAATGGGCACATATTTATACAACTTTAGGGAGTATTCTGATGGTTCAGAGAGAACATATGAAATATATTGATCCAATTAGCCGCCCTGTTTGCATCCCCATTTTTTGGATGGGGAAACAAATCTTAGTGGGGTCAGAGAGTTTGCTGAAGTTTAGCCCTACTTAGTGCTGCCTGAAAGGGGGTTTGTAACTCCCCCCCCCCCACCCCTCCCTCCCCCCACACCGGAAACCAGCAAGGAACAAGTCTGCACATTCACTAACACTTTCTGAAGACAATGGACAGAGCAACTGCTGTCAGTGTTGTTATATAAAAACATTCTTTGGTCTTGGTGTGAGGAGAGGAAGATAATTTTGAAGAGAAAATTGAGAGATTTGTCACATAATGAGATGTTACTCCACCTTTTTTTTTAACATACAAAAAAGCTTAAAAACTGCAATACTGTATTGGCGTGAGTCTCTAGTCATATGTTGATGTAATTAATAGCAAGCAAAATGATGTAGCTTCTGCTTTCCTCTCTTATATGATTTTTATGTAGTTTTATAAAATCTAGGGTCCACTAATGAGAGAAAACATGCAATATTCATTTTTCAGAGGTGGACCTATTTTACCTAGTAATGGTTACCTAGTACAATGGTTTTTCAGTTGTCTCATGAAAAGTAAGACTGTCTGTGGGAATGCAGAGGAAGGATGGGAGGGTGAGAGGCAGGGGAGTATTGTCAAAACACATGTCATATTTGTAGGACATATCTTTAGGAAACTCATTGTTATGTACAGTTAATATGCACTAATAAAAATGATGCAGCATTGTGAGGGACATAATAAGGACTGGTTTCCTAAAAGTCCTGTCTAGGGGTTTGTGGGTACAGAAAGAGAACAGTCATTGAGCAAGACATGACTAGGAAAACTTTACTTGGTCAGCAAGATTTAGCTACTTTTTAACTTTACATTGTTTTCTTTATAGAGAAATCCAAGATCCCATCAACA